CTAGTAGTAAAAATTGGTTCAGGGAAAATCGTTAGGTTAACTGATCTAGAGGAGAGCTTTTACTTTGTATGTTTACAGTTGGAAATTGATTCGCATTTCGTCTTGATTACTACAGTACAGACAGAATCGATCGTTAATCACAACAGTCATGTCTCAACTTCGATTTATTCTGAATTCAACACCAAGAATTGGACGCTACTGTTATCATAACATTAAAATTCATCATCATGCTATGACAATCAATCGTGTACGTCTTCTATCAGACCAGCCACCATCAAGCCGTGATAGAGATGATTCATTTGCTTTAGGGCTGTATCGTGGCAAGGTCAAAACACAACAGCTATTCCCTTACCCTGATGCATTAGATGATGAATCCAAAGATACAGTCAAACTAATGATTGATCCCTTTGAGAAATATTTTCGTGAAATTCACGACCCTTCACAATGTGATCTAGATGAAAAACTACCTGATAAATCGCTGCAAGCACTCAAAGAACTTGGTGGTTTCGGTATACAGGCACCTCAAGAATATGGGGGGATGCAATTAAAGAATACACAATATGCACGATTAGCTGAAATTGTAGGATCCTTTGATTTATCCATTGCCGTATTTATGGCCGGCCATCAAGCCATCGGTTATAAAGGGATCGTACTCTTCGGTAACGAGCAACAAAAACAAAAGTATTTACCAAGTTTAACGACTGGCGAGAAAATTGCTGCATTTTGTTTAACCGAACCTTCAGCTGGATCGGATGCCAATTCTATTCGTAGCACGGCTGTTCTTGATGAGGATGGCAAGCATTATATATTAAATGGGAACAAAATATGGATTAGCAATGGTGGTATAGCCGACGTGATGACTGTATTCGCTCAGGTTCCTTTCAAGAAGGACGATTCCGATAAACAATCTCAAGCTGTAACAGCTTTTATAGTCGAGAGAGATTTCGGCGGTGTTACTAGCGGTCTTCCCGAGAAAAAGATGGGAATAAGATCATCCAATACGGCTGCAGTCTATTTCGATAATGTAAAAATACCAGTAGAGAACGTGATAGGTAAAGTCGGTGAAGGTTTTAAAGTAGCTATGAATATACTCAATGAAGGTCGATTTGCTATGGGAGCCGCCATGTCTGGTGTAATTCGAATGCTAGTGACTAAAACTATTGAACATGCTAAAAATCGGGTTCAA